GAGAAGACTTCTTTTTAGAGAGGATTTCAGTTAGCAAAACCAGGTTCCTTCATTTTCAGTCCAATTAGGAGAGGAGAGGAAGGAATGGAGGAGATCTCCAAACCGAACAAACAAAGATGCATCTTTGCATCTCGTTGATCATGGTGGCTGTTATAGTGGTTGCAAAAGTTTTAGAGCAAAACCGGGTTCTTTCGTTTTGTTCAAACATTGAAGTAAGAGCAAAACCAGGTTCCTTTTCCGTTTTGAGTAATCTTCATCGCTACATCCTATCATTTCTTCTTGTCAGATTTGGTTGTCTCTAGCAATCTCACTTCTTTTATATCAGTCATTCGATTCTTTCAGATCTGCATCTTTGCATCTTGTTGATCATGGTGGCTGTTATAGGTGTGTACAATCGGTCGATTCGACTTGGTTCAAATTGAGGATTTAATCGGCTATTCGGCTTTATCATTTTCTCTAATCGAACCGAACCGAATTATTATTTAGAACCGACCCTAATCGAATTTGGTTCAGTTGGACTCTAATTCTATATAAATGATAAGCATTTAATAAGTGTTATTAATGAAAAGTTAAAATGCATGGCCCCAAAACCCAATGATTTTAATTAAATAAATATTAACTATTATTAATTAAAAGTTAGAATACCCTAAAGCCCAATAGTTTTAATTAATTAGTTATTATTAATTAAAAGATAAAATAGGCCCAAAGCTTCATGTCAATGGGAAATTGGCGAATTGGCCATTTTCAAAAATAATTAATAATTAATGACTAATTAACAATTAATAATGAGTTTAGGTTTCAATTAACTATTATTAATTGTTCATTGGAAAATACAATAATTAATTAGCATAAAGTATTAAATAAAACATCAATGTTTAATATACTTAACTAAATAACAGCATTAATTTGGTTTTCGGTTCGGTTAAAACTTTCAGTCAAACCGAACCAAAACTAAAAATCAATTTAAAGAAAAAATAAAAAATCAAACTGAACCGATAGCCAAATTAATTGAACCGAATTAGCTTATTCGGTTTGATTCGGTTTGATTTTTAGTTTATCAACTGAATTTGAACACCCCCTAGTTATCTTTGTTTTGATAGAGTTGCAGCCTCTGCTTGGTTAGGAGGGGGAAGAAGGAAGAACAAAGGTAAAAATGGGATTATAAAAGAATTTGATTACATATCAAACAGCTTTAATATTTTATTTAGCTTATTTTTATTATGTGGGATCATCTTATAAGGTATATATAAGTAGATTTTGAAAGCTCAAGATACATTTTGGTTGGACCGATAGCGACTCCAAGATACATTTAGGGGTGGTGGGAGCTTCAATTTTTCCGGATTTCAAAGATGGGTCATCTGATAATGACTCCAGTATAAGGCTGCAAGTCGGGCCGGGTTAAGTTGGGGTTGAGGCCAACCCTAGCCCAACCTAAGTTCTAAACCCCCAACCCCAACCCTAACCCTAACTAAATACCTTCAACCCTAACCCAACCCAACCCGAAGTCAACTTTGGTTTGGGCCCAACCCAACCTTCTTCCCATCCCTTAAAATCTTGTAGAATTTCTTAATCTAAGATCTTAACTCAACTTTCACTACATATATTAATCCTATGTTTTATTAGTATTTGTTTGTTGATATTTTTTTTGGTTTTCTAAGTACAAAATTTAGAAAAAAAAAGTGTTTAAAATGACTATAGTTTATTATGAGTTATGATTTATAATAGATCTTTTATAGGCAGCAAGCTATGGGTGGCAAGCACCAGAGAGGAAATAAAGAATTGAATATTCAAAAAATATAAAATATGTTATTAAGGGTTTAGTATTTCCAATTAAAATTAAGTGAGGTGATTATCTTAAAAGAAATAAATGATAGTATGTGATGGGGGCTATACAACTATCATGCATATAAACAAATCAATGTATGATATATTATATATAACATATATTTATATATGATATATACTATAGAGTCGGGTTCGGGTTGGTTCGGGTTGCCCGAGGGATCAACCCTAACCCTAACCCGAGCATCAACCCAACCCAACTTTTTCGAGTTGGGTTCGGGCCAACTCGGCCCAATTTGCAGCCTTACTCCAGTGCGATCATAAACGAAGACAACAGCTCGAATGCAGTAATTTCTTTATCTAGGTTGTTTCAACAACATCAACTCTTGATTTCACCGGCTTCATCTTCCCTAAGATTCAACTACTCCACATCATTATCGCCTTCTTCGATCGATTGTTTTCAGTTCTCTAATAACTTTGTAAAATGGTACTGTATTTAACCTTTTTAAATCACCATTGTATAAAACAAAATTACAAAATTGCAAAGCACACACTAGAGGTGTAAAACGGGTCGTGTCATGGCAGGCAGTCCACGCAAAGTGTGGGCCGTGCCACCCTCCCCTGGGATAACTTGGGGGGTCAGCTTGGCACGACCCACAACCTAAGCCCATGTGGACCAATGCCGTGCCGCAGGTTGAGTTGGTTCGTGGGCCAAGCCTTGGGCTAGGCCGGACTGTGGACCAGGTCAAAGCTATTTATTTAAAAAAAAAAATTGAAAAAAAAACTTAAAATTTTAAATTTATATGAATTTTGATATATACAATTGCTTACATATACAATAATTAATAAATTAGTACAATACAATTGAAAATAATTGTTTATTTTATTAAATTATATATTATATAAATTATATAATTATAATTTATAATATATTATATATTATATATAAATAATATATATGAGCCGTGCTGCGGGCAGCACAGCCCGCTCAATCATGCCGTATTGGCCCAATCCACAAACCTAAAACCCTCGGTCCAATATGACCCACATGATCATATCGGAGCTGACATAACCCATAAACCATCGTGTCGAATTGGTCCAAATTCATACCGGACTGCAGGCGGTACGGCCGGATTTATACCTGTGGCACACACGATAGACGAAGGATCGGTAAAAATTAAAACGTCCAATAAACCTACCGCTACGAGATTTAAAAGGAATAAAGTCAACAGAGAAGCCGGAATAAGTCTCTCTGGACTCGCTAGAGAAGAAACGAAACCTTGACAGCGTCATCATCCGCCTTTGCCATCTTGACGTCGTCACAATTGTCTGGTCCACCAATACCATCAACAAGAACGTGGACAAAGCTGAGCTCTTAGATACATGACACCTCAAAACGCTTTGACTCTCCTACTAGATGTTGCCCTAGAGACCTAGTTGACTTGGTTTTGCCGCTGCTGAAAGGAATAAGACGGTGAAAAAGAAGGGAGAGAGAGGAATTTGGATTTAAAAAAAAAAAAATTATATGCACTTGGTATTACATGTATACGGGTTTTGATAGAAAATTAACATATGCAGAAGGGTAGAGCTAATCAATTACCAATAAGATGGTTTTAGACAATAAATAAATAATAAAAATACAATTAGTCAATTAACTAAACAGTAAGAATAATTTAAAAAATTTACCCTTAGAAAGATATTATCCTCATGCACTTATCATCAATACTCTTATTTATTTTTGAACAATTTAAAAAAATTAGGATATAGCTAACAAAGATAATCAGGACACAATTGATTCGGAGGGTCCCTCATCAGATGGGACAGTTGGATATATGAATCCCTGCTACTGTCATTCAAAGTTCTCGTCCACAATATTTATTAGCAGTTAGACATAGTCTCTCTTATTGATGTTTTTACATGGTAGCTAGGGACGGTTACTGACATTGCAGTGAAAAAGAGGAATAATATTAGGTTTGAGACGCCATGAATACCTCAACAGACATGGAAACATTCCATGGGGCTCACTGTATTATTAATTTTATTGCTCCATCTGATTTGGGTAATATTCCTAGTGCTAGCTATGAGCCTGCAGCTATCTAATACAATGAAGATCTGTTTTGTTTTGATGTATATATGAAACTTGAAAGCATTATATCTGTAAGTTAACTGCATTTTTGAAAGCTGCAAATAATATATATTTTTATACATAACGTTGATATAGAATGTGATCCGATCTCTATACGATCATCACTACATTGTGAATTGAATTTTGCCATGGATGGTTGTGAATGAGCATGCACATAGCACAATGCCTTACTTAGATTGTACATAGAGGAAAATGCAAGTAAGGAATCGTTTGAATTTTATTTTCTCATTAAAAAATAGTAAGGAATTCACTTAATGGGGTCTTCAAATGATCAACCTCGCTCATCCGCTTCTGTGGACGTTCTTCTGATAATCATCCACCTAAATGAACTCGTGAAGATCTAAGAAAAATAAAAAGGTTTCTTTAAAAGAAAAAGACTTTTAATTTCCAAATGTCACACTGTTGACTAAATTTGTAGGTCATAATTAAATGAAGGGAGAAAATCATGCAAATTGATAAATTCGAGGAACAATTGATATTTGAGCTGAAAACGGAGCATTGCTCTATAATTTGATTTAAACCATGACAGCGCGCGCCTGAAACACCTCAAAATGAATTTTTAGAAAATAGAACTTATGTAAGGTCAAATTTGAGGTAGAGGATGTAGAATTCTAGATCATTATATCTGTAATGCCCTCTATAGAGCAATATGAAGGTCAATTTTGATGAGCATCTCATCTGCTATATATGAGATTGTGCTTATCCTTTCCTTCCTTGTCTTCACTGCATATACGCATTTTCAGAGTTTTTGACATATTTTGATTTATTCAAAAAAGAAAAAGGATTTGATTAATATAATGCTTTGTACCAAGATGCTGCAAATGGAAGTAACTAACCATTGCACGTTTAATAAGAAATTGAAAATACAAAGAAAAGGAAAAAATATATATAGTTGCAGAGAATGGTAAAGAGAGTGAATGCAGCATTTATGGTCTCTCACATGGAGGCATTCAATGCCACGCCAATTAAATGTGGACAACCACTCTCCTCCCAATAACCCTACTGTCCATTAATATTATCAATAGAAAAGCAGCCTTGCAAATTTGTGCTATTGCAAGGAGGAGGAGGAGGAGGAGGAGAGCGGAGAGCCCCATCCCGAGAGCGAGAGCGAGAGCGAGAGAGAGAGAGAGAGAGAAAGAGAGAATGAGGGGCTGGGAAGATTTAGGGGTGGTGGAGACCATCTACGAGGAGGAATATGAAGACTCTTCCAACTCCCCCTCTCTTTCACCTACTCTCACCCTTCCCCCAACACCCCTTCAAACTAGAGTCCAAACATGGTATCTTCTTCTTCCTTTTCTTCTTCTTCTTCTTCTTGTAGATTTAGTTGCACCGATCTGTCGTGCTATACCCAGATCTTTGGTTCTAAAATTTTCCTTGTTCTTTCATTTGATCTAATATTCAGGTCGCTGGCTATCGGGGCTGAAACCGACGTCTCGATACATGTTCAAGACCAACTTTTTCAACTCCACAAGGTATTGTTTCTCATAATTTTTGGTTTGTTGAGTAAGCAATATAATCAGCTTGATTCTCTGGCGAGACCAGAACGCCTGCTACTTACGAAGATTGTGCTATGCATCCTACCATCAAGAAACTTTGTAAAATTATTCATGAGTTTTACTTAATTATTTTGTTGACATTGCCCCTAATAATCCTTCTGCTTTTGCCTTTAGTAGAGAAATTCTTTAGTTTAGATGATTCTAGCAATTCCTTTTCATATATAGCCACTTAATTAGCCAGCACAGAATGAAAGAAAAGTCTTTAAAATAATCTAATGAAGGCTACAAAATTCCTTTGCTTTTACTCTCATTGTTTGTTCAGGTGCTTCAACACTTATAAATTATGATATTGGTAGAAATAGAATAGGATTTGTCGATTTGATATTTTGATGGCCGGCCGATCCAGACTGCCTGGGCTTTCGAAAATAAATAAAAAACAAAAAAAAAGGATCATACAGACTGATGACCGGACTAGTGAACCAACTACTTGAAACGTAGTTCCATTTAGTAACTGAACCTTCTATCCGATTTCGACCGGCGCCCCACATTCATATCTCACCGTGCATTGGGAACATATCCTATAATTGTCAGGAGAGATATTTCCAATACACGGGTGGGATGTGTTATAGGGCGCGCGTGGGTAAGCTCCGTCGGGCGCGATAAGATTTATTTCTTTTTCAACTTTATTGCCACGTGGCCATGTACTTCATTTTTGAAACCCAGGGACCCACATCGGCATTCCCCTTTTGAAATTATAAGCTTGCCCGCCAACGCCATTTTTTTTTCTGGGCTCTCCGGCCACGTGGACTTAAAACTGAGTGACACGTCTCTAATTAGACCATGGGCAAAGCTTGCCAAATTCCAACTTTACTCGCTATCAGAGTGGTTGTTTTCAGTAATTAGTGAATACACAGAGGGCATTTATTATCTTGCATCACTTTCTCCGTATAGGATCCTCTGACGTCCAGAAGCGGTTATCTGAAACGGCACCTGTCGGGATGCTCCGAAATAACTGTCTCCCCGCCGTTGAGCATAACGGCACAGACGTTTTCCCTTGTTGCCGACTTCTGTTACGGTTCCGATGTCGTCATAACACCTTTCAATGTCGCTGCTCTACGAATCGCGGCGGAGTTGCTTGACATGAACGAGGAAAACTGCGGCGATGGAGTCAACGACGGCAATTTGCGCCAGAGAACGGAAATCTACTTCTGTCAGGCAGTGTCCGCTAACCGTGAGTACGCGACCATCGTGCTCCGTTCGTGTCTGGAGTTGCTTCCGGAGGCGGAAGAAAGGGGGTTTCTGGTGAGCAGATGCATTGAAGCGCTGGGTCTGATGGACGGTGTCGATGAAACTAACGCCTGGATTCATGACCTTACATCTTTGTCGGTCGGTTTATTTCAAAAGATCGTCGGTTCCATGCACGAGAAATTATCTCTCAATCACGATCTTCTCTACAGAATAGTCGATTTTTATCTCAAGGTAAATAATTGGTAGGATTCGAATTCGATCAAGGTTAAAAGCGCCATCTAATTAATCTGAGGAACTCATTACTCTCTCTCTCTCTCTCAGTGGAATATTTATCGAAATTACATTTTCTGCTTCCTTATCTCGTGTGGACGAAATGCAATACAGGAAAATGGCGTCAAAATAACGGAAGAAGAGAAAAGTAAAATGTGCGGGTCTGTGGATTGTAACAAGCTCTCATCTCACCTCCTCAGGCACGCAGTTCAGAACCCAAGAATGCCTTTGAGATTCATAGTCCGAGCCATGCTGGTTGAGCAGCTGAACACACGCCATTGTGTCATCTCTACAGCCACTTCCGCCATCAACAGTCATCAGCGCAAGGTTCAAGTCAAAGACAAAAATGAAGCTGTAACGCTCGGTGCAATCCTACAGCGAGATGCAGCGTTGCGACAAGTGGCGCAACTTAAGGAATCAATGGAAACGACGAACTCAAGAATTGAAAGCCTAGAGAGAGAGCTCATGAACATGAAGAATCTGCTGCGGGAATCAGAGAATAAGAGAGAAGCATTGGAATCAGGTCGGTCAGCAAGCTTTCGCTTCAACTCAGAGAAAAAGGTCGGAAAGGGGGAGAGAGAATCAGTCTCCTCCGCCAGCTTCCGGTTCGGTGATAAAGGAGAGAGAGGGGGATCTTCTTCTTCCTCTTCCGATAGATCCTGCGATGAGAATAATTTGCGAAACAGCAAAAAGAGTTTAGGTTGGAGGTTGATGAACGGGTTGAAGAGTGCATTCCGAACATCGTCATCAACGGCAAAACCTGAATCCGATGGTTGGATTTCAAGCAAAGAGGATGGAAATTGTGACGAGGATGGAGACGAAGACTTGGTCGTGATCAAGAAGGATCGGCCTTTTCACCACCGAAGGAATCTTTCCCTGGTGTAAAGTTAACTATTTTCTTAATTTTCTTCGAATTTATTTAACAGCAGATCGACTTAATAGTTATTTGTTCAATTTTGGTTCAAAATACCGAAAGTGAGTACTAACCTTACAATTAGAGAGAAGATTGTGCTTAACATGAAAGTCTCTTCAATCAGTCATGACTCATTCTGTAGCATTAGCAATATGCACTCCAATATGTTTGTGGTTCTCTCTCTCTCGCTGGCTGGCTGGTAATGACCAAACAATGAAACTGGCTTTCGATCTGTTGACCCAAAAATGCAGCCTCCCTGAAATGAAATCTGAATGGAAGATAGTATTGGGTTTATTTTCAATTTCGAACAGCAAGTGGTTGTTGAGTCAAGACATTGGAAAAACAAACAAGCTAAGGCCAAGGCAAGCAAGTTGGGTCAACCTGAGAATGGTTTAGTTCATCTGATCAACCCATCATCAATCACATGTCTGGCCAAATATTCCTCTTAACAAGCAACATTCTGCCCATTAAATAAGTTTTTCAAAATAAAAGCATAAAAAAGCTTTTGTTTACAATATGACAATATGTTAATAAATTTTATATTTATTTGTTAAAATTTGTAATATAAAAATGTCACACCATCCATAGTGCACAAATTAATGCCATATTGTCACCGTGGATTTTATCAACCGTACTATTAGCTAATTTAATGTCCATGTTTGAATGATATAAATTAATTCAATTTGCAATCCGATGCCATATGTTACAATAGGGAAAATCTATGATGAGGAAAAGATACGGTATGAAAAGAGTTTTGACCGATCAAAACTCACTCATATCTTACGTGGTTTTTAAAACCGATCAGCAGATTGAACCGGTCAGGGTTTGGTTATCGGGTCAAATGGTTTGACTATTCAAATCAAATGGTCATTTCGTTTTGATAAAAAAATAAAAACGGTTAAAACCGTTCAAACGGTTAATCAGTTGAGTCAGTGGTTTATTGACCAAAATCAACGGTTTTTGGAAAAAAAATCAGTTTTGGGGGAAAGTAGAATCGGTTACCTGACCGATTCCCAATTTTTCCTATATGACCGTCCGATCCGATCCGGTCCGGTTTTGAAGACCATGATACCTTATTTTCTATTACGTTTATGATTTTAATTTATTGGTCAATTGATTTTCGGATATCAAATCTTAGTCGAACCCATTAGAGTAATAAGGCTACACACATTTGTACCTTATTGCATTTTGTAAAAGGCAAATTTGTGTATATATATATATACTAATAATAGGTATGACTGATATTATAATAGGTATTAGAGGGTCCCACATATATATATATATATATATATACTAATAATAGGTATGACTGATATTATCTTATTCTTTTTCTTTTTTTAATTAATAGGTATTCGAGGGTCCCACCATTTATTTTAAATTTTTTAAGTTTTCAGAAAAACTCCTGTATCAGTGTCTCCGGGCAATTTTTTCAGTTTATTTTACTAATAATATATAATAGTTGGACCTTTTTAGTTTAATTTATATTATTCAATATCCATTTGTAATCTGAATTCAATTCAAATTCCATTTAAATCCAGTCAAAATGATTAAAATCAAATTTGAATATAAATGAATCAAATTTAATTTAATTTGACCCTTTTGCAGCCTTACTTTGATGTAGACGGTTCCAGTTATGGATCCAAATAATTTTCCATGTCTGTAATTTTGCAAATACTCACAGCCTAAAAGAAGATAAAAGTAAAAGGGCAAATTTCTTAAAAGTACTCTTAAATTTAAAAAAAAAAAATGATTAAGTCTACTCTTACTGTTTACCTATTGTCTTAAAGTATCTTCAAATTTTATGACAATTAACTAATCCCTTAATGCATGACATCATATGACATATAATTTTTTTAAACCCAATATTACCCTTTTATGATCATCTTCTTAACAGAACTTTTCCAATGATCTACTCCATACACAAGGGACATCCTCATTCCTTTGCAATCCTTTGGTCTTCCAATCTAATAAAGTCTCAGCTCCTGGCCTCAATGCTTCAGTTGCCTTCAAGGATTCCAACAGACCCTCTTCACTCCTTTGGGCAGAATTGGGAATATATCCAGGTCTTTTCATTCTCTCTTCCAGCTCATTGATCTCCTCCATACTCAGGAAAGTAAGAATCTTGAGAAACCTCACCACGTCCACACATCTGGGACCGAGAAAAGGTATTGCTAGTTTTCCTTCAAAACCCTCTTTCGAGTTTTTATTTTGATCCCATTCCATCTACCCAGAATTGTGGTTATTGTATATTAGCAATGCCTCCTTTGTTCTTCTTTAATGTTTTTGACATCCAGTTCAGGCCTTTCCAAGCTTTTACAGATGGGTCCCCAATCCTACCAGTTGCACCGCGGATCAAAGCGACAACCTTGTGTCTCTGAAACCACGACAATACAATAATTCCAAGCAAGTTTCCCAAATGTAACTTTCAGCGGTGGGATCGAAACCACGGTAGATCTTCAAGGGATTGAGATTAGGGTTTGAACAAGCTGTACTTTAAGATAATAGGTAAACTTAGGGTTTGACTGTGAATTAATTTGTATTAAGAAATTAGAAGTTTTTTGTTTGGAGAAATTAGATGTTTCCAATCCAAAACTATCACCTAGCTGAAAATTTTTAAATGTTTCATTTTGAAAATTTAAAATACAATGATAATAGCTAAACAGTAAGCTAGAGTTATTCAATTTCCTAAAACTTGGGGGTAGTTTAAGAAATTTTCTCAAAGTAAAACCAATAAGAACTTTCCTTCGACCAAGCCACAAATCAAAAGGTAAAAAACCACTTCGAGCATTAGATCATAGAATATTGTTGTTGTCAAATATGAGGTTGAGGGCAACAAGGGAATTTCGTTGGTGTCCAAGACCGACGGGTCTGACTTGTAAATAGAGAAGAATACATGTCAAAGGCCCCGAGTGTTATCTTAGGGGTGGAGACTTCGACGATCAAATTAGCCAAGTGCTAAAGAGGAGTCGAACCAGACTAGAGACAAGAGCTTAGAGCTTAGTCCTTAATAGTCAAGGATAATTCTTTTGGAATTCTAAATGCAAGAGAATAAGTGTTTTTACCTTGAAATGAGCACCCCTTTTTATAAATGACATTGCCTTGGAGTGGGGGGCAATTGATGGAGGACGATTTGGCTCAACCCCATGAACCCAGAACACGTGCGCATGACCTGGCTTGGTAAACAGTCCAGCCTAGCAGCGTGATCTCGACTCGACAAGAAGGAAACGCCAAGTCAAAGACAGTCAACTCGTCGAGGGCTAATACCTCGGTGGGTCAGTCCCCCGCCTAGCTCGGAGAGCCCGGGCTCTCCCCTAAGGGACGCCAAGCTTTTCCCCACCTGGGAGGGAGCACCTCGGTGCTTCGAGGCAGGGACCTATCTGCCTTGAAGCACCCCAGTATGTGGCAGCTCAGCGAGCCGCATAAAGGAAGGCAGAAAGATCTCCTGCCCGACCGCCGTACCCGACAAATCTGGTGACAGCAGTCGTGTCCCTCTTCAGGCAGCGTCGTGCCTGCCACCTTTAGAAGGTGTCCTATGCCTGATAGACACGTACCCAACAGTGACGGCCCCGCGCGTGCCACCTCAGCCCTGCCAATAACGGCTGGGCAGGTTGGCAGTGGCAGTTATACCCGCCCTGTCAGAGGCCAATGGGCAGGAGGTAACAAATTCCTGCTATAAGGAGCTTAGCATCAAGGAGGAGGGGGATCTTCTTCATCTTCGGTACGCACGCTATCTTCACTCTTAGCATTCATCTTTCTCCTTGCTTCTCCTATCAAGTACTAACTTAATCATCGGAGTGTTCCCGCCAGGTAACTCCCTCTAGGAACTTTCTTCTTCTCAGGTATCTTCCAGGAACCACATGAGTGCCAGATAGGAGTGACCGGATCGCGCTACATCAGAAGCAATTGGTCATGTGCGGCCAGGATTTGATCTAGTTGATGCCACATGGTGCGATCTAAGGCCCGACAAATATCCCTACATTAAATATTATAATAAAACAATTATCCACCATGCAGTAACTCACATGATGATACTAACCCGACAGTTATGGATTGGCTTAGTACTAGTGGGTTCCCTCTCACCATGTGAGAGCTTTTCCTCTCACCCAATGGGGTAAGTTTTTCACTCTGGCTTGTGTGCGAGGTTTCTCACTCTCCCTCTCTCTCATCTCTTTTTTGTTTTTTTTTCTCTATTTTTTTTTCTTTATCTTCTTTGATGTAGTTGGTGAATCGGGACCGCTCTATGTCTAAGAATGGAGTTGAGCAGGTTTTTATTATAGGTAAAATACAAAAACCTCCCTAAATTTTCTGACAATCATAAAAACCTTTCCTATAGTTTCATTGTAACAAATACCTCTCTCACTTTTTAAGAAAATCAACAAAATCCTTCCTTCCCCCCTCCAGAACATTAGCTGATGCATCAATTTTTTTAAATACCAATTTTACCATGCATGTGCGAATGGGATTAATGGATGTTTTAATTTTCTACTGTCTTCCTATCCTGTTTTTTACATATTAAAGGAGATAAGGGTTTCTGTCTTGTTTCTTTTTCATTCAGAGCTTTTTCCAACAAACTAAGCACACCTGAGAGGAACCGATGGAAAGTCGCATGCCTGAGCCCTGCATGCCACCAATAGAGAACCAAATTCCTTAAATGAAATAAGCCAATCAAAAACAGGGGATAAGGATTTCTTCTTCCTCTTTAGTTCAAAGCTTTCCATAACAAACTTAACACACCTAAGACGAACCGACGAAAAACCGCATGCTTGAGCACAGCATTGACGGAGAACTGAATGGCTGAGACGAAATACGCCCCTTTTCCTCTTGATTTCATTATGCAAATAAGTAACGACATATGCCCCTTTCCAAATTACCTGGAGAAAATATTGAGAAAGGGCTTTTGTCTTAATACGCCATTTTCCTCTTCTTTATGAATCTAGAGAAAAGATTGAGAGGTTTTCAAGTTTTCAAATTACTTGCTTGTTTTTTGTTTTTCAATTTTGTGTCACTATTTGTTAAATCTTGTTTGATTTTTTTTATGAAGTGCATGTGATGTTATTTGTTTTTTGAAACATCATAGAGTATTGCCTATTAATGTTTTCAATATTATTGAAAGTTGTAGTTATTGATCAAAAATATATGGTTGGAAAAAAAGAGCTTGAATGGTTCTGTGTTGCGAACGAGAAGTTTTTGGCACCACCTAATGCCCGTATTCTCTCTCATATTTCTATATTTCGTTGAGGAAAGATTTGAATGAAAGAGGGAGAAGAAACCCTTATTTGATATATGTTAAAAATAGAATGGAAGGACGTTTGAAACGTCCATTAATCCCACTCGCACATGTCAAATTCGCAGAGGCATCCTTTGATTTAATGTGCAGGAACATGTTGAGGGATCAATTTGCAGGAGAGACGGAATCCATTTCGCAATTGTAGTTGAGACAAAAGCAGCGAGACAATGAGGAATAGAGCTAGCTAGAGTGATGATCACAGCAACAGTAGTGAGACTACCAGATGAACGCTTAGAGCTTGTATTCGACGAAACCACTGGTCTAAGAACAGGTGAGTGACGTGAAACGAGTAAAAAATAGTAACCTTGAGGTAAGTTTTCAGTTCGAGAATCACAAGCTCAACTATCTGATTCAAGGAATTGAAGTTTTCTTCCAAAGTCGTGAATGCCAAGATGAAGGAAGATTGTTTAGGGAGAATGTAGAGTAGGAAAGCGAGGAGAAGGCCGTTGATGAGACGATCAGGCATAACAATGTTCAAATGAATATGAACGAATTCAGCTAAGGATCCCCTCTCTCACTAGAGTGAGAATGGTTTGACGGCCATGGCCGAAGCTACTGGCCAGTGCTTCTTCGTTAGCGGAAACGAGGGAAATGGGGAGATTGCTCGATTGAGGGCAAATATGGTATTTTATGATATCTTTAAATGATGCCCCAGTGGTAATTTTGTAAATGTATACATTTTTCATCTGCGCTGGTAAGAGGGGTTTTGTCACATTTCTCAAAAGGTCAGGGGGAGGTATTTGTTACAATGAAACTATAAGAGATTTTTATAATTGTCATAAACTTAAGGGGAGATTTTTGTATTTTACCGTCTTATTATTTTGCAAAATGCACAAGATAAGGTGAGACAGTCATGTTGCAGCGGAAATGAATCTCCATCAGGCTCCTTAATGTGAAGCTTCTAGGCTAAGGATGAAGCTTGTTTCTATGATACTAAGGGGGTGTTCTTTAGTGTGGATAAGAAATTGGTGAGTGTGGACTGATCCACACCACACCCTGTGGCAGGGACCAATCTATACCACACCACAGTCCACAACTGTTCTGAACTGTGGATAAATTGTGTGGACTGGCCACACCCACAATAGCATTCTGTAGGCATGGTGTGGACTGGTCCACACCACACTTTTTTATTTCATGTATCTCATATACACTTGTGAATGATCTACATTAACATTTTAAAAAACGACTCGGAAATGGAACCGTTCTGGCCACTGATTTCCTGGTCGATGGTCTGACTGTCCAGTTCAAACGAGTGTCTCGTTCTGACAAACAAATTAAAAAACTAATAAAATAATAAAAAATAAAAAAACGGTAAAAAATCATTGAACGAGTTGACGGTTCGATCGCTCGAGTCAACGGGTTGTTGACTTTTTCAACAATTTTTTGCCAAAAACCGGGTTTGGGATAAAACGGAACCACTTGCCTGGATAGTTCCCGGGCCGAACAGTCTGACCATCTGGGTCAACAGCGGTTCGAAAACCTTGATCTACATAGTTAATCATAATTATCTAATTTTTGCATTTTATATGATAAATATATTGAAAAATACATCAATGAATTAATATTAACCAATAAATATTATTTTTTATAAAAACAATAGTAAAATAATTAAAATTTAAAAAAATATATATTTAAAATATTATTTTATTGATAAAACATTAAAATTAAAAAAATTAAAAAATTAAGTAAAATAATTAATATTTTATTAACAGAAGTATTAAAATGTAAAATAGACAATAGGGTTTCAGCCATTGAGGGAAAGTGTGAAGTAGGGGATTAAAAATCAAGTGTGGACGGTCCCTAACCACGAGATTTTGCCATGGATGAGAAATTGGGGTGTGAACGGGACTGATCCCATCCACAGCCTTCAGAACGGGTGTTCATCCCATGGATGGGACCGAAACACGGTGCCGAACACCGCCTAAACTGCTTAAGTTGATAACACACTTATTCCTCGTCCAGGATTGATGATCACCTATTAGCCTGTCCTTTTGGGTACAAGCGTCATTGATAACGATGGACAGGAGGTTTCAGAAATGGTTGCATTTCAATTTTATTTTGGGAGTATCTATGATGCCAGTGCTACTGAGGATGGGGGTGTTTTTGGGCTTTCTGTTTTCCAGTAATTCTTCTAGATTCAGTTGCATCAATTCCTTTTCTTGTGCTTCAATTAGGGTGGCATTTTGTACCTCCTTGATCGTGAACCACCTTTTTAGGGAGATTTTAAATTGGCAAGATAGTGGCCTTGCTCCTATTTTCAAGGCATTTTGCATGCACGTTTTCTTTCTTATCTATTCTGTTGAGTGATTTGGTGTTACAATTTGAATTATTAAGCATTTGACTCACAATTTAAATTGTTGTGTATTTAGCCCATATTTGCAGGAGGGGACTTTGGGCCTTCTCCAGCATCCATGTAAGCCCTGGTGTTATGGTTTTTCTATGGTTTGGGGTTGCCATGGCACTTTGTTTTCTTCAAATTAAGCCCCAATCTTAAGGGCTTTGCATCTTCTTTTACTGTTATTACCGAGAGAGTTGCACTTGTTACTTTGTCTCTGTTGGAGGCCGAATGTCTTCTTTTTGGCGTTTCTTGAGTTTGTGCCATTTGCAGAGATTTTCTTGAACTAATTCACTCCTGGTGCTCATGGTTACTGCTTTGCACAGCAAGCTTAGTTTGTCTTTCCATGTTTTCTTTAAATCTTCTTGTTATTTGTTGACATTGTAATTGTAATATGAATGAAACTTTGCCTCTTTGGCTTAAAAAAAAACTAACATGATTTATTCATACAGGCACTCATCCTATACTTGGGGGCAAGGTTCAAAATATCGATACAGACTGATGTCGGTAGGGCATATCGGTCTGTATCAGTGCCTGTTTCACTATTTTATTGTTATTATTATTATTTTTAATCTGGTTTAGGGGGTAGGTTTATGGCCCATCTAACCCCTGAACCACCACCTGACCCAAAACACCCCCTGCAGGAGCATATCAGGAAGGCCCAAATATGATACATACAAACTGATACGGCTTGATACATAACAAAATTTTGAACTTTGCTTGGGAGTACAGATCACCTGCAAACAAAATAGGTTCCAACACTCTACCAAAAACATCTGATACCACACATCTCATACATGACAGGTTTCACTTTTATGGTGGATCCCAATTTTATAGCGAGATGTGTGGTGTTAGATCAAGTTGTTAGGGTGTTGGAACTTGTAACCCTCATCAATTTTCCCACTATTACCACTGTCAGTTAATTATATGAAATATTCAACACCTCTCCCAGAGTCCCTGCAGCCTTGCATTGGGAATATCTCCCATAAAAAAAGCATACAAGTACATAAATATTACTAATGCACAGTTGTAAAAGGTTATGCGAACCGTGTGAACACAGTATTGTGAGCACTGAAGCCGATCTACTCTATTTGCAATGAATGAATCTCGACTTTTGCTCCTGGGTCCTGACCACCATGAGCAACCTGACTACCATGAGAAAGAAAAGAAACGTGAAAGTCTTTTCTGGAACAAATCCCAATACTCCAGTTATTAACATAAATAATTAGCTTTATTGTTAGAAGCCAAACATCTGAACAGGCTAAAGTATAAGGCTTAGCTACTATTTACACATAATTAAAAAAAAAAAAGAGATAATGCTACATGTTTTGATTTCTCCTATCGAAGAATACATCGATGGGTATGTGTTTGCCATCTTTTGGATGAGACTTCTGCTTCTTACGTTTTCCGACTCCAGAGCTCTTTGCCTTCTGGATAGACCTGGTGAAAAAACAAAAAGAATTGGATTAAAACACGAATACAATGGCTTATTTAGATGCTTCAGACATGATTCACGGAGAAAAGATATGAAAATCACGGCTGAGAAATTCAACCAAGAGATGTAGTCACTGTTGACTTCAAATTAGCATGCAAAAAATGGAATAATTCATGCAGGTCTTGGGTAATGATATCCAAGCAAGCAAAAATATTAAGACTAATGTAAACTATTATCATACACTGAAAAAGGTAGCCTAATTCTTGGTTGGTCACAAATCCTACCTCAACACAATCTTACAAGGTGGCAAGAATGGGACCTACAAACTAGGAATTGATGTATTCTAGAAAATTAAGGAGCAACATCAACTAGCAATAAGGTTGGACAAAGTCAACTAAGTCACTTGCGAAACAAAAGCCAAACAGTAAAGTGAATCTCTTATATATTAAATGTTACAAAAGGACGAGAGATGGTTTAAGCGGTAGGAAAGATATCACAATTGATTCCATCAACACAAAAATTAACACCAGATAGAATGCAAATATCGAACATAATTTATTTACATGACCCCTACATGGGCAGTACAAGCCAATTGAGGACTGGTTGAAACAGTCCCCAAGGTTTAAAGATTCAGTCAACACATGCTGAAACAATCAGACTCTTGACTTTGGTATGTATTAAGTACTCGTGGATCTTATTTTGCTTGACTCAACCGTATAAAGATCACTATTATCACTCACAAAAGCACTTGTAGATAACATGGTAATATAAATTTTTAGAAATTTTTTATGTTATATTCTTCAAAGAATATATAGTACAGTAAATATAGATAAAGAGAGCTTAATGAAGCTTATAGGTGAAAAATAAAGAACAATATTACTATGCAAAAGCTCAAATCATTTATACTGCCCTTATTTCCTTGTAAAGTCTTTTGATGTGCATACATCTCAAGTATTTCTTTTTATAAAAGTCAAATCATATGGTCCATCCAAATAGGAACTCAAATTCAACTAAGCCTTGTCCGAACTATATGAGCTTGGCTACTTGTAGCCAAAATGCAAAAAAATGAATTGCATATGATAAGAATTAAGATAATGAATGATGGATGAGACGCATGAAATTGGGAATGAGGGTATCTTACCCATTCACCAGCATGAGATCTCTTGAGTTAGATTCAGATTCTTCCTTCTGTAGCATCTCCGCAAGATGATAATCAGAGTGTTCTTGCCTCTCCTCAACAAAACTAGGGGGCAGCTCAACTCCACATAATGAACACTTATAACCATCCACCCACAGTGTTTGTCCTTCCTGACTGAATGACAATACTGTTTTATCATAAAATAGATTGCCTCTCTTGTTCCTTTGATCGACGCTGTTTCCCTTGGATTTCCCAAAGAAAGCAACAGACTCCACTTCCACCTTTTGCAATTTATCGGTATCATGGAATTCTACCAAGTCAGGGGTATTAATCTGGGAAAGCTGCACAAAAAAACTCAAATTATCAATGATATAAATTAACATTAGACTTCCTAGATAGTCTTGTGTGATTTATAGTTGGTTTTTCAGTACATGTTGCATTGGATGTTTTAGTCAGCACCAGATTAAATAGGGCTGTAAATGAGCCAAGCTAGATTAGCTCACTTGTGAGCTAAATTTACATAACCTATGACTGACACTTCTTTGGGTGTCACTATCTCACGAATGCTTGTCAAATGGTGTACTCTCAGTACAAAATGGGCCTGGATCCAATGCTTTTCAGCTATGGAGTATGGACTTTGTAATCCTGTCAGCTTGATTCTAGAGAAAAGAAAAGAACTATAATTAATATGTGGGTCCAAAAACATAATACCTGAGGTCATAACATGCCACAATATATATTTATACTGTGTTGCAAGGGACAAGTCTCCCAGTTGAGTCATGTAATAAAGAAGGCTACACAACCCAGGAATCTTCCATGTTATAACGGGTTTTGGCACTCACAAAGACCACTAGTTAATGTTTCACTCTCCACCCTTTATCTATACAGTGAGCTTCAGCCTGAAAAGTCTTGCCCAAAATAAACTCCTCATTATAGCACTTTCCAGATCAAAATTGGAAGCCCGAACATTATCACACTTCGAAGAAAATACGATACAAGACAGTATAGGGCTGACCTGGACTATGGGAGTGTAAGTGAGCACATGGACAATCCAAAGTATCCTCATCTAACATAAATCTGGATTTTCCGTAGGATTCATCCACATGGCAGAAATAGGTAAAGTCATCTAGGGAGCTACCCTAGTTAACCCAATTAGGAACCCAACCAATTCCAATTTAATAATCTTGCAAACAAAACAAAGTAGCTGTTAGTGGTGTTAGTGAAGGGGTATTTCAGTCTTTGTACTTGTTGAGAATGCTGATGTGTACTGTAATGTTAGTTCGAGTGCCTCTTACTTAAAGAAGGGCACTCAAGTCTTTTCCAATAAGT